AGTGGATAAGGTATTTCCCTAGTACATAAGAAAGGGTATCCGAATTTAATCTAAGTTTATTTATACTCGTCACACCTTAAAGGCATATGATTAAGCGCCATCCTGACAGTAACTTAATGCTGGCCTGGATCTATCAAGGGGACTGGGGCCCTGCTACCCCCGCTAAAAACATACAACTAAATACAAGATACTGGTCCTCGGACCCCATACTGTTAACCACTCCGGTAAGCGAGTACCAACACCAAAGCTAACATATAAGTTCATCAACAGTTCAGCCCCTATCTGCTCCACCTAGCCAGGTCACGAAAATCCCAACCAAATCAAACAAAACACTACCACTGGCAGCACTGCTTCGGCCTTGTAACCCACACTCAAAGGTATAATCATGAACAAAATAAATCTTCCTCCTGAAACCCACCAGCAACCCAAGCAAGGGTTCAGATTACAGGGCGAAGAAGACCTATAACACCTCCCTCACCAACTAGTTTTCAAGACTCCTTCCTATAATAGCCATTCTAAGCCACTCCAGGAGTTGGTATTATCATTATAGGTATCCCAACCTATGTACGGTCATTCATATCCCCCTCTTCTTTATATTCCTCTAAAGTCTCAGACTCTTGGGTAGCTGGACAGGGGTGGGAATGGCAAACAGGTGAGTAGGATTCATGCAGGCCATCACAGTTCACATACCTGAGTGTGGCATGGCTGCAAAGACAGCTGCGAAGACAGCAAGTAGCAGTGGAGCAGGAGTGATCCCCAGTAGCCTGAGAGTGATGGAGGAGGCACCAGCAGCACGAAGCTGGCAGGATACATTTAATACTGTGGTGGTCAAGCTTATAAGAGTTGACACAGTGGGTGTATTTGTTGAAGTGTAAACAGCATTCAGTATGGTAGGTATTGGAGAAGGTAGAGAGGCATTTGTCAACAAAGGTGGAAGCCTCGAGTCCAGTAATGGAAATAACAATTGTGGAGGCAAGTTTCCTGATATGTGCAAAATCAGAGGTAAGCCACCTTGGTTGTTTGGTAAGAGATAAGCCTGAGTTAAATGTGGTGAGTTCTTGGACAAGTTATACCAGAGAGGTAGAGGTGGCAATACTATGTACCAGAAGCTGGATGGCAGGAGTGTCGAGGTAGATAGTAGAGGCACCAGAAATAAGGTGCAAGAAAGTGCCAACTTTGCTGTTGATCATTATGGCTCTAACCGTGTCTATAGTAGTAAGAGTAACATGCCCATCTCAAAAAGAGACAGACTGAATGAGAATAGAGGCCAAGGCCTGATTGATGCTATCATATAGCTGCATAGCAATCACAGTAAGGGGGGCAGCGTCTCGCGTGATGATGAGCCAACACTCGTGCATAGTGAGGCCCTTTTTCTTTTCGGTAAGGAGCTTAGTCAAGGTGGATGAGAATTGGGCTTGCTGAGCACCAAGCTTTGTAGGTTTTTAAGAAGGCTTCCTTGCCCCCCAAGTGACAGTAGCCCAAGACAAGGGAGCTGCCAGGCTAGGAGGTTAGGTATGGGGAAGGGTAAAAGGTAGAGGAGAGACAGAGAAATGCTCTGGAGTATTGGTAGCAAGGGGTGCTGGCAGGACAGTGGTTGGAGCAGGCTGAGATAGAGTGGAGGGGCAAGGGAAGTTTAGTTCATCAGTATGTAATGACCCTACATTATAGAGCTATGGTAACCTATGTCTACACCCATACAGAAGACTATGAGGTCAGATGGTAGACTAGGCAGGCATGCTGGCACATGTCTGAGGGATATCTGATGGTCCAGGTATCCTGAAGAACAGAAGGTACTTAAAGGATAGGTGTACCTTCATAGTAGAAGTAACGTAACCATGTCCACTCTGGCCTGAGGATAGGTCAGAAGGCTGGGTGAGTTTACCCTGTCTAGGAGAGTCACGGTACCCTATCATGGAGACCAGTTTCATGTTACCATAGATATGCTTCCCCTAACTTTGGAACACTATTACCCTACCTTCCATCGAAAATGTTCTTGGAGGAATTCTGGGAAATGTTAGGATTGTTTGTTATGCAATAGCGATCGAGAGACACTTGCTTGCATACTGATCAAAAGATTATAGGAGGAGCTATAGTGCTCTGAACATGCTGTAACTTGGCAGTATTATTCCTAAGAGGTACCTGGGGCCCCACGGTTCGCCATGGGCATCAAGGGCCAAAATGGATAGAGTTGCCATCTTACTAGTTAAATGGAGTCTATGAAGACATGTCTATAATACTATATATGTCGCTGCCATCCATCCCACTGGTAGCTGTTCGCAGGATATATAAGGGGGCCAAGGTGAGAAGATCAGGTACCCTCTCCAAAAGGAACGTAGTAAAATGGACCAAAACTGACAGAGCTCGCCTGAGCTATCTGGAATGGTCCCCAGAGTAGTCCCGGGTAGTGTCAGAAACATCTGGGAAGGTTTTACGCCAATCATACCTATATATGCCCCTTTGCTATAGGCTCTTTGTGGGTTGTTTGAGGACTCTATTAGCATGATACTTATCACGGTGAGTAGTATGCTGGTGGTAAGGGACCATGGGTAGCGCCCACGACTCCCACCGCCACCACAGCTCTCCGTGGAAGCATCATAGACCTTCTAAGTTGGCAGTCATGATAGATAGAACTTAACCCAAAGACAGCTGATGTCTACAAGTACTTGCATAGGTTATCGCATACGGGAAGAAAGTTATTTAGTTAGCTCTCCTAGGGGTCTCGACAGTTAGCCACTGGAGAGACTCCGATGCACAAAAGGTTTTACTCTGGCAGGTGTATTGGTAAAACCTCGCAGGAACTGACATGCATATAGGAGATTTCTACTAGAGTGCACTAACACCTTAGGCCCTTCAGGAATATGATAATGGTGCCAGGCAACCCTTACAGAGAAGGGCATACTCATGTTGGTCAAAGTAACCTGATGGGGGAGTTTTTAGTATAAGTCTAACTACTTAAAGACTATACGAGAACTCTCCTACCCTGACACAATTAATATCCTCTTGAGAGACTTTAATTGAGATAAGCCAGAGCTTAACGATATTAAGTTTTACTATTTTACTTTTCTTCTTTACACTTCACAAGAGCTGTGTTCAAGAGATTTGAAGTTTGGTACAGTCACATCCTTAGAAAACATCTACCTGATGGAGCTCCCTTTACACAGTAAGGATAGTAATGTGCTCGGTAAGCCCATCAGTTGCCTTCCTGTAGTCTTGGTACAATATTTGCATCATGTAGATTCTGATAGGAAAGGCTTTTCTAAAGGTATTTAGTGCTTTGTACCCTTGGTCCTCAAACACTCATCGAACATAATTATGAAGCCCCCGTAGGGGGTATCATAGTGATTCTTTAAGTATTGGTATAGGGAGGTGGTAGTGCTACTATGTGGCTGTTTAAGCGAGGGGGGGCCCTGAGGCCAAAAGATTGGTAATAAGCGGCTCTGTGAAGCCCCCTCAGGCTGTGTAGAGGGGAGTGGAATGAGAGGGAATGAAACCCCATGATGAAAGTGATGAGGAGAAACTTTGACCCTGATTGGGCCAAATAAAAGGTATCATGAAATGGTATATAGTAGTGGATAAGATAATTCCCTGGCATGTAAGAAAAGGTATCTGAAAGTGATTACCAGATTATGTAAAGAAAGTAAATTATAAAGAGGTATACCCCATTATATACAAAGGAAACCCTCCTTGATTACTGATACAAAAGAAAGTCTTTGGCGTCGTGCACAGCCATGCTTCTTCCATCAAGTTCCATCAAGTTCCATTGCGCTACAACACACTTCAGTCACAGTATACAGGAAATCCTACTATGCAACCAAGAAAACCACACCCAATATATGCAACCAAAAATCCAATGCCCAGTCCTTCTCCATGGTTGGGTGGCCATGACATACATGTGGCTGTATAAATTTGAATGCCAAGATTGGATACTAATAGTATATAAAAATTTATTAAAGGAAGGATTTAAGGTATAAGGGTTTAAGAAGACTATTAATTTATATGTATAATGAGAACTAGTATGGGAAAAAATATAGAAATAATATATTATAAAATAAATTCAGACTTACTAATCCAATCAATTGTGGCTACTATAAAACATTTCTGTCTTCCTCACTAAAAATACATGTTTTTAAATCCTTAAGACTCTCTAACCACAATTATATTTGCTAAAAAAAAAACCTGTTTTATATTCTGCTTCATCTGCTTTTTCAGAAACAGGTTTTTTTCAGCAATTATATATGATGGTAGTGGAGCCTTAAGGATTTGAAAAATGTAAAATTTCATGTTCCCTTTTTCAACCGCTTACACTATACCTCCACAAAAGTGTTAGTGACATGACCTTTTTACACCAAAAATTGGCAGGTTTGATCAACCCCCACACCTTGAATTGCTTCAAATAATCCTTGCAACCCATATAATTATTTTCACCTTCTCTGCAGCTTTTACCTGACACCATTTATTTTGTCAATTTATTCTATGGGGCTAAACTACAAGTCTCTAAAGTTGACAATACCCATTGCTCTGGCATTTTTGTATGTGGGATAAAGCTCTTCAGTGAAGTCAAAACTTTAGGACTGCATAACTTCTCCAATTCTTCCCCAAAGTTATTAAGAGTTGAGTAGGAGTAGGGTGAGATTATTGTAACTACATACCAGAACTCAGGTTGTAAAATCTTTTGTGGTTCCTGGACTACCAGTGGCAAAAAATCAATGTTTTTAGTGTAAAAAGCCCATTTCACCAACACTTTTGTGGACATACTTTAATACTTTTAAATCTCTCATATAATCACAATAGAATGTTTGTTTTATAAACTCAAATGTTATAGATACACATATTATCCAAGATCCTTCTCAACACTCTATTCCCTAAGTGTAATTACTGGAACTTTAGATAAATATTGTGTATCTTGTAGGTATGCAACCCTTCTCCACCAGTTGCTTATTTTTCATTAGCACAAACACTTTCTACAATCCTGTAAGACTTGAATTTGTACCTAAGATCCCCTATTTTCCACCCTTTCTAAGATTTTTTTGTGTAGCATCAGCCGCCGTAGCTGGGATGATATCTGGATTGAAGAAAAGTGGTTGGTTCGATTTAGTCCTTCGACCTAATCGTCGAGCATGAATAAATTTCGTGCCCCCAATCGGTTCCTGCCCCAGTGCTACTGCGCGAGACAGCGTCGGTTTCGCTCGGCGCTTGTTCCCTTCAGTTGAGCCTGAGGTTGCTCCTACCTGTACCCTACCAGCACTACCGATGTCGGAAAAATCTCGTCTCCAGCCGACTGACTTCTTCTGTTGTTTAAACATCTCACCCCCAGAACTCGTAGGTAACGCTTTAAGTTCTCCCACCTCTCCCACCCCCTCCGTTGGGCTATGGTGCATGCGTTTACGCTTCTTCAGCCTCTCCTCATCCTGGACCCTCTGCATACTCTGCTCCCTTTGCCTTTTCTCAACAGCTTGAGTTTTTGCATCTGCCTCTGCTGCTAGAGCATGGACACATCTTCCGCGGGAAAATTCCAAAATACTTTTGTAATCAAGCTTCGAAATCCAGTTGTAGCAATCAGCGCAGAATCGCTCGCCATCCTTACTAGTCCATGTATCTGACACCGAAACCCACCAGTCCCCCTCCTCCTCCGAGTCTATCTCTGTATCGCTTTCAGTATTCTGTCTCTCGTCTTCAGGTAGATAATCTGCTATCTCCTTGGTACCGTGTCTCTCATTTTTGGGTAAGGTGACTGTTGACTCCTGGGTAACATGACTCTCTTCTTCAGATAGTTTGTCTGCAACCTTCTGAGTCCTTCCACTGTCGCTGGCCTGACTAGAAAGAGTTTCTGAAAAGTTTTCACAAACCCACACTATTCTGTCCGGTATTGAGGAAGGATTTTCTGTCTCTTCCTTCTGTGTTTGATCAAACACCTCCTCAGGATTTCCCCTATTGGTAGGGTCAAACAAGCTCTTAGTAGCCCTTCCCTGTAGACCCTGTAGCCTCCTGCCTTCCCTCCTGCTCCTTTCTGGATCCTTGTAAGGTCTCAATACCGGTAGGTTGGTTACTTTAGGAGGATCCACTTGTGGTAAAGGAGCAGTTAACGTCCCGGGGGATTGAGGGTCAGAATCATCCATCTTCTGTGTTGGATCTGACATAGGACCGGAAATGGTTTCATTGAAATCGGCGGCGCCCAAGTCTTCCAAAGCTATCTCTGTCGGTGTTGATCTTGGAAAACTTGACTGCCAATCCTCCTCTTCCTGTGAGCTAACAGGTTCATCTTCCCCCAGAAGCCCAACGGCGTCCAAATCATTCGGCTGACTAAATGGGCGGGCTATCTTCCCCCAATTGATCTCTCCAGGATTCTTGACCGGAGGTCTTCTATGTTCCCTTGGCGGGGGGAGCGGCGAACACTTCCGGAGTATTTCCCTCATTGGTTTCTGAGTTTGAGATCCATGCTTTTCCGTCTCCTCAATCACGTAGTATATAACGGCTTGTATAAATTTTTGCTTAAGACGCGCTGCCCACCACCCCCCATCCTTCGTCTCCGAGATCCAATAACCGTAACCAAGTCTGCTCTTGGTAAGTTCGCAAATCCGTAGTAGAGGAGTAAAAACATCCTGCATTTCCAAGATGCCAAACAGAATACCACTCATGATATCTGGTTCCGGTTTGTCCAGACACATCTCACTGTAGTACGGGTTAGAAGTGTCCTTCCATATCTTTATTTTGAGTTCTTACCTTGCACTATTGAACCTCGACTCCCAGAGCTTTCCAGCGTCAGAGGAGAGGTACATTTCACCGTAAAGCACGACCCTATCGCAAATCCAACCAGTAAACTTATCATAAGTTTGGTCAAAAAACCCTATTAGACTCTCAGGTCTCTGGATCCATCGCGGGACAAGGTACCCAATCGGCTTGGTGTTTTTAAACATCAAGTCACGCTCCTCTCGGCTGAAATCCCAGTGATAGAAGAACATGTAAGCCCAGAAATAATGCAGCTTCCCAAAATAGATATCAATTGCCTTTAATACTGTTAGATAGTTCCCAAAATTCCTCCATGGACCCGCTTACCAATCTCTCCGACATCAATTCTTGCAGCGCCTGAGGAATAGTTTCTCTGGCCGTGCCGATGTTCGGGATCCGTTCTTCATCCATCAATTTCTCCCATCTCTTATTATCCAGAGTCGGAACAGGTGTAGTGTTATCAGAAGTACAACTGAAATCCCCAATCTTTATTTATTTATTAGCCACAGAAAGTAAATTTTTGTTTCAATTGCTTCCCACATCGGATGCACACATACCAGATACTCGGAACCAAGAATTTCATCATCAACAACACGTTTCACCTCCACCTCGTTCTTTTTCCGCTTAGTCATTTCGTAAAATTGTTGCCAATTATCACGGACGACACTGTACGAAACAGTAAACTCACGTTATTTGTCTCGGCACATTACCATCTAGGCGTTGGTGGTATGGGAAGCCCCGAGAAGTGAAGCTTCGAGGGAACCTTATAACCATCTTCTCCAGCACACTCAGGAAAGTTAGCCCCAGAACAGTCACGACCCATCAGGAGGAGAATGAGGGCTTAAAAGTTATAGCAGTGGCGGCCCATACAACTAACCCGCGATAAGATATCAAATTGACAGCTTCTTCCGCCAAAACCCTAGCCAGCCAGTCAGAAATGGCAATCCCTATTCCCCATATGTTCCAACCCCACCTTCACCATAACAGACATGTCAATTTCCTCACAACTTATTCCCACATCAATTTGAAGTCCGTTTTCCCAGAGACCGGTGTCAGGGAATTGCAGTGCTAAGCTAAACCTCATATTCCCCACGTATGATAGTCCACCAGTATACCGCTCCGGAGAATGGCAGTAGAAGACACACTGGAAGTTGAGAACAATTATTAAGATAGAGCGTGATAAGATACAGGAAGGGAAATAGACCTGCTATTTGTAGACAGCAAATGGTTGACCATACTTGGGGTCGCCGTCCACACTGACTTTCCAAGATACCCCCAGGCAATCAGCTAACAAAGACAGGCAACAAAATTAAACATCAAACAAAAAGAACATCAAGAACGACCACGATAGCTGGGCCAACGCGAGATACGACAACACCCACTAGTCCCAAGTTGCGTGTTGACCGGAAACGGCATAAAGAAGCAAACGAAGCGTTTCGGGGCACAAAGAAACGATCCGTCCGCCGACAGCCGCCCAAGGTGTCCCCCGAGTGACATCTCATGAATATTGGCAACTTAAACCATTGGGCAAAAAACATCCTAGCGAGATTTTCCCACCCCCTTCACTCCCCCCCCCAAAAAAATGCGCGACAAAGCCAGTGCGAACTAACACTATACCTCCTTCTAGTAGACCCCTCCAGAGGTGGCTCGTCTTATCGTAGAAATTTCTCGTCCCCAGCTCCTCTTGTTTCTAGAGCGGAGTCCGAGGGCACCCAATACAACAAATCAACCGAGAGGCCAGCCAGCCAGATGCGATAGTGAGTGGAAACTGAAAAAGCATTGAGGAAGAGCTCGTCTTGTCTAATTCGATCTGTTGAGGTCGGGCCCGATTGCATCGCCCTGAGTCCAAGGGAATAGTGCGCAACCACTTTCCCCGCGGGGGGCCGGTATTATACATACCGCTGGGCAAAAGTTGACGGGATCATCCTATCCAACAAGCAAGATATCATATGCCATTGTTGAAAATGCCCTTAAAAATGGCAGGGGGGGCTCCCACAGGTGTTAGGCTTTTTGTTTCATTATCTCCTCCGTCGTTCAGAAACATCGCTCAACTTACCACTCGGTACCGGACCGCAAAGACCCGGCCCCTAGTTACTAAAACCGCCACCATTCTCCGACCCCGAATACCAAAAGATCAAAGACATAAGACAAATTTTCCTCAGGAGTCCTAATTGGGTAAGTGGCCGGTCTATTACTACATCCATTCCACCAGAATTAATGGAGAACATGCAACTCAAAAGCCTTCCTTCTTCACTCCTTTTAATAGCGCCACCCCTAAAATTAGGTTCAGGTAACACCTCCGATTCCTCTTCCTCTCTTGGTATTGAGACTATGAGTAGATAAGCTGTCCTAACAAGGGCGGCGATTCGAGTTGTCAACACCTGCGATCCTCTCCCAGAGGACCACATGAAGGTAACTCGAAGTCGGGATGGAAGGCCTCAGTGCAATAGCGCTGCACGCCAGCAAAGTTAAGCACCCATCGCAGCGCTCCAGGCGCCATGGCCGGTAACTCATTCAAATATAATTATCCACTTACCGATGAACGACAGAAACAGGAATTTAAAAAAAAAATCAGAGCACCACAAACCAAAGCTTACTCTTGTGTGTTTTCATCCAAACTTCCGAAGATCCGAGACCCTTTGGTTTGAAAAAGTGCGAAAACAGCCCATCCCAAAACCCCATATAAACTCTCTCCCCCTTTGGAAAGATTCCTGCATTCCGGTTACGGTTAGATGGAGAAACGATAGATTTTCCAAGTGCGCCATAACAATAGTCTAGTCCCAGTAGGCGTCTACCATGAGCGGCCAGTGGAGGTATTATACAGTCTAGTACCATAAGACGGTATCATACTTAGGGCTTTCGACGCACATTAAGCATGATATACTGTACGCTGTAAAATTTGAAAACGCGATTTGTGGGGCGGGGGGGGTAATTCCAGATCTCAAGCCAAACCCAAAACCACAACACCCCTAAACCATGATCAGAAAACGCAATGGGCCCCAGCGGCCTATGCTTTCGATTGTGATTTTTGTTCTTTGTCTTCATTAGGGCCAAACTTTGGAGCCTGCCTCCCCCCTTGTGGAATCGTGGAACCATAACCCATCGTGAGGGCAATTAAACATCCAGCGTCCTCCTGATTTCACCATGGCTAGCCTGCGCATGTACTTCAAGCAAAATTAACTCGTAAATAAATGAATACCTATCCTACATACAGACTACCAGATCCGCACTCCCCTTCACCAGTGTTCCCAACGGGCTAGGCCAGTGATAGGCCAGCCTATAGGCCGTAGGCTGGGCCAAGGCAGGCCGCTCTGACGATGAGCCTCGGCGGATATAGGCCGAACTCAACCGGCCTGCCGAAGCCTATCAGGCCTGGTAGGAGCCTATAGGCCTGCAAGTGGGATTTTTAGAGCTGATTGTTTTAAGAGTGGCTCGATTCCTTACAACTTTCATTGTGGTTTATTATCTTATCTCTATCCTCAGTTGTTGGTTGAAGTATGATAACTATGCGATTACCGATCCACAACCAGATCAAAGAAGTCCAGGAAATCTACCTCCAGATTCTCCAATGCAGTCCTATCTCACAATCCTTCCTTCCGATTCAGTTTCTTCAGCAGGAATCCATCAGTGAATGTGCCCACTATGACTAGTTTAGTGGAATGGGAGATGAACCGAATGGAAATCAAGGATCTGAGGGGGTTGTAGGCCCGTATTCATAGTCTGGGCCCGGCTTGGCTAGGCCATATAGGCTAGGCCGGCCTATCAGGTGGCAGATACTCGAGTACTTAGCCTATACGGCCTATAACTGGGCCCGGCCAGGCCAGGCCCAGGCTTTTCAAAGCATAGGCTCCGGCCGGGCTAAATCCCCCATAGTTGTGGCAGGCCGGGCCCGGCTTCGGTTCAGCCTGGCCTACCCGGCCCGTTGGGAACACTGCCCTTCACCAGGCTAAGCATTATGGGAACCCATCGTCAAACAGGGAAAGCTTTGGGTAATATCCACAACCCTCAAGAGAGGAGAAGCTACGCCGACCGCTGACAGCAAACGACAAAATCCCTTCGGATGCGATGCGAGAATCGCAGAGGTACCCCGCGATGTGCATAAACAGTCGGCTTCAGCTATACACAGGACAGGATCCGGAAGAGGTTATGGATTGTATTATAGATGTACGGCTGAAGGCCGCCAGCAGCTCCCGCATTCATAAGGATATGACGGACTAACACTATCCCTCACCCCCCCCCCCCCTAATCTCGCCCAGGGGGACGTCACGAGTACAGTATTCAACCCTCCGTGAACTGTTGAACATATGAGAACGATAATGTATACGAGCTATGAACACATATTATATAGGTAAACGTAACTACTTACCTATCAGTAGTGCCTAGTATGCAGGATTCCATCTTAAGTCTGCGTTCTTCTCTTCTGTTCTTCTCTCCCAAGAGCAACACCCAGCAAGATTTATTCGCTCCAGTTCGTCTTCACATCCATGTTCCCCTTTCCCCACAGTCAATATACATCTCCCCTCTCTCTATCCCCCCTTTCTCCTCACTCTATCCTCTGTGCATCAGACCAACTTTGTTCTCTTTTGTTGCTCACTCCTTCCGGTTCTGTAAAACCCCCTCAACAATCATTGACATCTCCATTCGATCGGCGGTAATGCCAAACATCAACTACCGGTGTCGCAGGAAGAAGTTTTTAAGGGTTTTCTGGTCATGCTTTGCGGGTTTCTGCCCATAGAATTCTCTGTTTGGGATGAGGCTCAGCAGGTGGAAAATTTTCGCCCTGAGGCATGGCCTTGCCTTCCTCAGAGAGAGGAGGAAGAAAGACACGAACAGCCCATCCTGTATAACCAACTACACCACCTTCTTTTCTGTTGTTTCAAAGCTCTGTTTCTCCACCCTTTTTATCTTTCTTCTTTATTGTGTCTTACTGTCAACTTTATCAGCATAATTTTGCAATATCACGTCGTACAGTCAACCATATTGCACAGGTGTCAGCTCGGTCAATCACACCATCCAAATTACGGAAGTAAACGGAGACACTTCCGCACGGGTAAACGACATTGATCGAGTGATTCCATATGAATCCCTACAATCATAACCCTTGAGTCGCAGAATCATTTCCTTCCTCCGAGCCCCAGAGAACAGTTTCGCCTCCTTGACGCAGCCCTTCTCCTCACGCCTGCAATTCTGTCGGTCATGAAGCCCGCGCACCGGGGGGAAATCCAGTGACTTATAATACTCTATCCAGAACCAAATGTTCACTGCCTCCCCAGAACTAGAAGTGAAATCCCCCAGCCCGGTACAACCCCTGCCCTAGCTCTAGATTCTCAGAAGAGAGTACGGTAATCGAAAAAGAAAAAGAATCCGTCGTCGAGCACATGCCATACCGCTCGTACAACCCCCATAGCCCAGACCCCCCCACTCGAGCACTGCCATCGCGCCCCCCAGAGCATTACTCGTGGTCGGTTAATACCGCAACGTTAGTGAAATATTGCAGGTATTTCTAGAATATCGTAGAGTTCAGATATTATGTAACAGAATCAATCTGGTCCGTGAGGTATTGACTACCATATCATTCCACCCTACTTTCCAGGCCATCGTGAGGGATGAACGTGTGTCCACCACTATGTTTAACTACGCCGAGGGTTATTCACAAGCCCGCGATCGACCCCGATGTTACCAACAGCGTTTCACAAGCTTCACTCAAAGTAACAAAACACTGGTCCCCCTAAGTAATTCCAACTTCCGACTCACCACCCGTGGTATTTTTGCTGCCCGCTCTCTGCCATAATACGCTGCGCGGCAATTGCTTAAAGGCGCGCAACTAACCCCCCACACGCATGCCACACTCAACAGCCACAATCCAAACCCCCAACCACGCTCCAAACAACCTCATAATACCATTACCATCACAAAGCCCCCAAGACAGAAGTAGCACAAATCGTGATCAGATAACCTCTGCAATAGACTGTCTCTCAATGATAGACTTCTGTCTATCATTCCTAGAAACCCGGTAATAATGATCGCAGTAATCCTGGCACTGCATTTCTTTCAAAAAGTCTTCGTCATGGGTGATGACCTTTTACTCCCCAGATACCGTCAGCCCGACCTAACAAACCCATATTCCACAAGGAGGAGGGGGGAGTCACAATCAATTGAAAGTTAGACTGTGCTTGACGAGTCTGGATTATCTCATGAAGACTCTTGGCCAGTGATCTGATGTTGTCACTGTCAAGGTTTGTGGTTGGCTCATCGAGAGCGATGAGCTAGGGGGGGTTAGCGGATCCGCAATTATACTCAGGAGGAAGAGGAGAGCGGGAAAAGACTTACACCGCAGTTTATACCAAAGCACTCGGCTAGTGCTAGGCGGATAATAATACTTGCCAAAACCTTTTGACCGGCGCTGCAACGTCCCCTCATGTCCATTTCAGCGTCTTGCTTTACCATACAGACCTACGCCATTAGTTAGCCATCTTCCTAGGAATAGAAGGTGTAGAATACCCTATAGTTGTAAGAGCGGTTGCCCTTAGCATTCTCATTATCAGACCGTATAAGGATCGTATCTACGTCTGTCCCCCGGTAGGTGGATTTCCATAGTTCCTCGATAATGCGATTGATCTCTTCCATTTTCAAACTATGATACTTCATGACAGCCCTGATAGGAATTAGTAAATTCACTCAAGAACCTGTGGCTAAAACATACTTATCTAACGCCGCGCCGTATTTCGCAAGATCGTTAGTAGCACCCGTCGTGGTTTGGACCTTGGCCAGCGTTTCCTTATACTTCTGCTTCGCATCTGCATAATCGGTTTCGTAGTCGGCAATGAGCTGTTCGAGCTGCTTGTCTTTGGATCTCATTTCTCCCGCCTTTGCTGATTTCTCAGAAGACAGCCTCATATGCTTATCAGAAAGCAGCTCGGCATTCTTCTGGAAACGCTGCCGTTCGGCCTCGGCATTTTTACCCTCCAACTCCCGGATTTCCACATTCAGCTTCTCCAAATCCCTCTTGTTCTTCCGGAATCGGAGGTTCTCGTGGATACTCCGCTCTGTCGATGTTGCAGTCCCAGCTTCAAGTTCAAGATTATTCACTTCATCCCGGATGCTCGCGACCGTGCCCTCATATCTTTTGACCTCAACTTGCAATGTCTGTACTTGCTGGCGGCACCGATTTAACTGCTCTGGTCCTCCACGGTTAAGATAATTGCCAATACCATGCTCAGTCCTCTTCAACTGCATGTCACTCTCGGCGAGCTTCATCGCATCCCGTTGGTGTCGATTCTCCCTCTCAGCCCCATCTTTCCGCAATGCCTGGGCTTTGACCTCTGCCCGCTGTATCTTGGGGGCAAGATCCTTGATCTGCTGATCTATCTCCTCAATGGTAGTGGTGTGCATGATGACCTCCTGCTTATGAGATTCAATCCGCTTGATGAGATCCCGAGCCTTGCTAATCTTGAAATTCAATTCACCAAATTTCATTCGAAGATCCCTTACTTGGCCGTCAAGAAGGGTAATCGAATGGCGAGCAGTCTCCTTCTCTGCAATAAGCACATTGATTCTTCTCTTGATAACTTTAGCGTCATCATTCAAGCACTGCATCTCATTTTGCATTTCCTCAATTGTGCGTGAACCCCCTAGCTCTTGCAGGAGACGAGAGGCATCCTCAACTTGTTTTTCATAGCTGGAAATTTCCCTCGTGTACTTGACGATCTCGGCCACTGGAGCTCTCAGTGATTCTACTTCGAATTTCTTGTGCGCTTTCTCGGCGACTTTTTTCTCACGCTAGTAATAAATTAGCCACAGGAATTATTGGATCATTATATGGAGCTGCAGTTGCTTACCTGATTGTATTCGTCCAAAAGAAGCTCCTTTGTCTGATTCAACTTCTGAAGATCTGCCTCGAGCTTTGGGAGTTCAATCTCTGTCAGGCGCTTCCAAGAGTCAAAGCTCGGCGCAGCATCCTTTATGTGTTTCAGGTCCTCTTCCAAGTCACGAATTATATCCTCAGTATTTGCCGTCATCACCGATTGCAAACGTGTGGTAACCTAGAAGTCACCTCGATCAGCTTCATTCTAAATATTATCGCTAGTCCATTCATGATTTACTAATTCTTGGAAATTATTTCTCTCAAGGGCGTTCTCGAAGCTTCTTCTACACAGAACACACGAGCCATGCTCCTGCAGCGTTTTTACTGCGGTCTCAAAGTATTGCTTGTAGAAGCCAACTTGCTCCAAACGCCTAGTGAAATGGTTAGCCAAAAGATAAAAGAAAAACTGCAAATCATCGTAGTCAAGATCACTAACGTTCGTGCCTCAGTCAAGTTCTTCTCCACTTCTTCGGCAACTCCGGGATATTGACGAATGTCCTCTTGATCCTCCGCATCATATGCTGCCCGGACCTCCCTCTCACATTCTAAGAACATTTAGCAGAGGGGAAAAAATAAAACATTTGTTGACATACTTACTCGAAGCCTCGAGTTTCTTCGTTTTAATTCCGTCCTTGACGATGTTAATTCTAGTCTCAATATGCCCTAACTCCTGATTAACACCATCACGAAGACTTGTTGTTTCTAAAAGTTCGTCTTCCCGGTTACTATTGCTATTAGAAACATAGTCTACTCAAAATAAGCTGAGGGGAAAAAAAAATACCCCAAGACCCGTTGGAGTTGGTTTTCCACGGTACCAGCCGTCCAAGGCCGGTCAATTACTCGGTCAATTTTATCCTTGTTTGCCACAGACCTGTGATGATACGTCAGCGCATTCACGTAATTCGATTGCCAACGACGGAAAGAAAGAAAAAAGGCTGCTAGATGGTTTACATGGTCTCCAATGCCATCCTTCGCGTTTCTAGCTCCTTCTTCAAGAATCCCAATCTCGCTCGTTCACCCGCCTGCTTGGTCCCCCTTGCAAGTTCGGTGGTGACACTCTCCAATTTTTCCTCGATACTCTTGAGCTTTGAGTTTTCGGCCCTAATACCCTCATCGAAGCTAGAATTCCTGAAAGACTGCTCCGCAGATGCGTGTTGGTGTTCTTTATCCTGTAGCTGAGACCTCAAAATAGCTTCCTGGCCCTCATTCACATCCATACTGTCCAATTCTTGCTGTAGAGCTATTAACGTGTCATCCACTGATTTCCTGGAAGACTGGTGGTGATCTTTAAGCCCAGTCAGAGACCTGCGCCCGCCGATGATTTCATCCAGCTCCTCTTGCGCCCCTCTTAACTCCTCAGCATTTTCGCGCTACATCAGTCAGCAATCGAACAATATCTCCAAAGGCGATCGTAGAGGCCGAAGGCTGCAAAGCGAAACTACCCCAAGGGCATAGTGTACCTTGATACGCTCCAGTGTCAAGCTCTGATCACGGGACATCTTAGAAACTTTGTCTATGAATTCTCTAATCTGAGAATCGTCGAGTTGGCTGTCAAACCCTCTGATACCATGTCGCCGACTGATTTCCCTGATCAACCTCTCACGCTCAACAAGTTGCGCTTCAAAGGCCTAGAACGAATTAGCTCAAGTGGATAACAAAATATCACCAACGCAAGCCCTAACAGTTTGTTCCGCCTGAATACGACCCTCCTCCGTGAGCTTTTCCCCAAGGCGTCTCCTAACTCGGTCGAGATCACGGCCCACTTCGGCATGCTCGGCTTTCTTAGCTTCAATATGCTCCTTATAGGTATTCATTCGATTCCCATACTCATGCTGCATCCTCTCAAGTTCGGTATCCGACTCCTCAAAGTGAGTGAGATGTTGCGAAATTTCATCAATGTAGGTCTCCATGGTGCGGGCCTCCTGTTTCTTTGCATTCAGGGTAGCAATAGTTTCCTCAAACCCTTTGGCAGTGGCGAACAATTGTGTCTGCTGAGCCACAATTTCTGATATCTGACGACTCAACTCCGTCACTTCAACTCTCATCGCTTCAATCTCGTCATGAAGTTCGTCAGATCGGCGTTTGGCCTAAACAATTCTCAGCCGGGAAATTCAAGTTGGCAAGCTACCTGAGGGTGCGAAGCAAGCTCATGGAAAGATTTCGTTCTAGTTACCCGTTCACCTCGATCCTTGTCGGTTCGATATTGCTCTAGCAAAATTTTGAGATTGCCCAACTCCTCATTCTGCTTCTTCCTCAAAATCTTAATATTGTCGATAGCCTTGGTGTACTTTAGCGCCTCAAATATCTCATCAAATCTTTTCTTCAGGACAGCTGGTTCACTTAAAGGCCAAAGACTCTCATCTTGGTGGCAGAAGATAACATATTCTAATACCGCTTTTGACACCCCAAGATATTGTGGCATAACCTGATCTAATTCGGCGCACCTCGAGCTTATGGTGGATCTCTCGCCGTTCCGAACTACTAGTAGCTGACCTTCCAAAGTCTTTTGCTGCCGGGTCGTCTTCTTAACCGTGAGTTGCAGAGAACGGGTGCAAACCATCTTCGCATCACTTGTAGACTTGAATGAAAGTTTTACCTGAGCGAGAACCTCTTTCTCGCCACACATCTTTCGAAATAAAACCCATCAGCACTGAAAGACATGGGATAGTTGAGATGTAGCGGAGAACCTTCGGATCATGAATAAATGCTCCCCCCTTGCTATTAGGTGGCAAGTCCCCAGTGGTCGCATATTTGAGGCATTCGATGATGGTCTGCAGTCCACAACCTTCGTCAGCAAAGAGCCCTTTCCCAACATAATTGCTCATCTTCCTCCCCCGAAGGCTTGTTGGTGGCGTACAGTTTTCCCCGAGCCATTGTATCCAACAATCAGGGTGAGCGGCGCATGGAATTGTATGGTCTCGCTGCGAGTATTGTCGAATGAGCGGACGCTAAACGCAGATTTTCAGCTCCAGCCCAGCAACAAATTACCCGCATAGGGTCGAGGGACTCGTACCCAAGGATGGCGAGCTTGTCAATACGCGCTAGGGAGGGCCAAGATCAGCTCTGAGCATTCCGATATCCCCCAATACACAAAGGCGGACGAGCCGGAAAAATTTAGCACTTACACCTACACAGGCAACAGAAAGTTAGCCAAGCAATAAGTCCGGAACGGTTCCCTGGCGGGGCCGATACTCACATTGGGGTTGAGGAAAATGCACTGGGGGAAACAATGCAAGAGGGTTGTTTGCTTTAACTGATAGTTTGATGCACGCAGTGGTGCGTTGTAGAGGTTGCTCCGGAACCGAGGTTGAGCTCCGGTGAAGCTAGAGCCAGGAAACGCGTTGCGGCCCAACCCATGTCGTATGTCTTGGCATTGCACCAATGACTCGAGAATGATTCAAATTATCACCTTAATGTGACATAAATTAACCACCGGTCCGATACCGGTATGATAGGGTAGAAGGAAAGAGGGCAAATATTGGATCGGCTGCAAAGCACGTGACGGGCTTCCCGACGTTTGTTTCTAGGCTCTAAAGTTATTACATATCACAACGATACCGGTAGTGTAGAAAAAGTTAGAGACCAAGTATAATACAATAGTGGGGCAGCCCACGGATCACACGTTATGTCGGGTGTGGGTTGGACCGCCGCTCGAGACAGGCTGACCCCGATTTCTCAACGGCAGTGTGACAGCGTCACGAATCACGGCAAAAGGTGCCCCTCCCATTCACTGCTTCTTTGATACACCAAAAAGGTGTACAAGGGTCTCCCATTCGCCCCCTCGCAGAACACCACACAATCCTTCAAGCAAACATCCAAATGTGATTATTCCGGCACCTTGCCATACGGTAGAGTTGAGTGCACGTACATATCTCTCATCCTCTTTTCTTTTTCCTCTCTCCCCCCTCCCCCTCCTTCCCCCCGTTGTCCTATTCGTGTCGAGTGGTTCGTTCCAGTCGTCACTGCTTCTTCCTGTGTGGGCAAGAGCATTGATTTTACCCTCGACCCATCCGCTGGCTGCATGCAAAGCAAAAAAAAAAAAAAAAAAAAAAAAAGAAGAGAGAAAAGGAGGGAATAGACAAAATCTTGCTGGCTCTCGAGGAAGGTGGATGGTGGATGGTGCAGAGTTCAAGCGGGCGGGTTCCTCCGGTCACGGAAGCAGTGTCGGACCTAAACCGAATACAGCAATGAATCTTGAACAAGGAACGATGGAATGAATCTACCGTACGCTTTGATAGCTGTATCGTAGGGGGCTCGCAGCTATGTCACTGTGCGGGCGGTGCTGGCCGTTTTCAAAATCCTTCTAGATGTTCTCTCACTCGGACGACAGATGTTGTTCCTGAATTTGGCCAGCAAGTACACCACAGTGCGATCTTGTAGATTCGATTCCGAGACGGTGAAAAGGTCGGACGACTCCCGACCACTGTTTTCTCTGCCCCTCGCCCACCATCCATAAAAAGTATCATACCATCTGGCACTGTACCGGTACCGGTGGTCGAGAAACACTACCGTGCGATAAATGGAAACATGTGATGAAACCGGCTGCAGCGCAAGTTGGAAAATTATCAGAATCTCCTCGAGGCTTAACTTATCAGAACTGGCCGGGCAGAATGGACAGCCCGCTACCGCTTCAATGCTCAACATTTCCCTTTTCGCGCGTTCTCTCAGGTTGTAGCTCGGGTCCCTGCCGACTCCCGCTTCACAGCAACATATCACAGCCAGTACAGTACTGTACTCGAGTACGCACGATATTTTTACAACCACCATTTGACTTGGCTGACGGAGCCACACATTCACCCGCCCATCAATTAACAAGGGATGCCCGTCAGCGTTAGGGCAACGGTATGGTATCATAACTATATCTCTTATGACACTTCCACTCCCCCACATACTGTAGCCAAACAGATATCCGTTGACCGGACAAGGAAAACCTACATACAACTGCGGAGAGATATTGGGTGCTGGGATAAGGGAAGAAAGAAAAAAAAAAAGTGACATGGACCATACCCCCTCACTCATTCATTCATTCAACCCATTCAAACCCCCTCTCCGGGCATGTCTTCCCCTCCCCCCCTCCCTCGGCTCTTCCACTTCTTCCCTCGCCTCTCTTTTCTCGGTTGCTGGTCACTCAAGGACACGAGACTGTTCGTATCAATCAATCATTGAGTGTATGAGTGGGGAGAATGAGGGGAATGGTAAGAGGTAATCTGCGGGGACGAGCGCAGAAAAAAACACACAAGGCCCTTTTTGAGAGGGATGGGAAAAGTGAAGTAAAAGAAATAAAAGGGAAAGAGACTGCGGACTGGAGAGTGCGACAGCACGCCACCCCGGATACCTTCCAGGAAATAGCGAGTCAACACGCCGGTGTGCTGGACCAGTGCTGCTTCAATCTTCGTCCACTCAACTCACTTTTCTTAATCATTCTCCATTCTATCTTTCCACCTACCTCATCCATTCCTCTTTGTAGAGCACCATATCTCCCTCCCTCCACCCCCCCCCCCCTTCGTACTGTGCCTCCTTCACCCAGCTCATCCACTCAGTATATGTAGGCCAGGTAGCCAATATCCTATCCATGCTTCTGCCCCGTCTCGACCTGCTAACTTCCTCCTCCTCTTCCTTTCCCTGTTTGTCCTACCTCTCTCTTCCTACTTCCTTCCACTCCACTTCCTTATCTTCCCATTACCTGTCCTCGTTTACCTCCACTCACGCCCACCAAATAACTATTAGTAGACATTGCCGACCTCAATACCACAACCCCCTCCCTCCTCCTCCCTCCTAACCCTTCACCTCCTCAACCACCCCCTCTGTCCCTTCGGCCCATCCTCTAACCTTCCAAAGCCCATCATGATGAATCACCCGTCGTCGTCATCACCCGCCCAAAGTTACAATGTTCCCTCAAGTATGAGAAGCGCCCACATGTACGCAGGTGGCATGCCTCTCGTCAACGGTGTCAATGGGCAACTCCAGAATATGCAGATTTCCCCCCTTGCCGCCCAGCAGGCCATGTCGGCCGGAGGATTGATCGGAGACCCAAACAACAACCCAATACTCGACGCTTCCGTGATCATGTCTATGGGGATGGCCGGAGAGGACGGAATGCCACTGGACCCCCAGCTTTGTACTGGTGGCGATCAATTCGGCCCCCTGTCCGTGACTGCCCCTCCGACATCCATGATGACTGAGTACGGGAACCTCGGCGGTGGCAGCACGCTGACCGAATTCACGAAGCGGAGGAATTGGTCACAGCGCATTCTCGAAGAGCTGCAGGACTTTCTACACATTCTCTCGCCGACCGGCAAAATGGTCTACGCTTCACCCTCTTCCAAAGCGCTTACCGGCTTCGGCCCGGAGGAGCTGTTGGGGAAATTCATCACCGAGTTCATTCATCCGGATGATTCGGGCTTGTAAGTCTTAGGCGTTGCCCTCGCTACGAGCAGAGTGAGGTCGGCTATGATACTAACCGTAAGGTAAGGTTCGTTCGCGAGTTTAATAGCTCCATCGCTACCGGCCAACCGTTACGATTGTTCTACAGATTTCAGAAGAACGACGGAACGTGGGCGATATTCGAAACGAACGGACATCCGCACATCGGCGAAGCGCCTCAGTACAGCCCTTCCTCGCTTCAATCGGTATGCAAAGGCTTCTTCATGATGTCGAGACCTTACCCGACGCGGAATGCGGCTTTGTTGGATTCTTTCCTCGAGCACAAGATCGAGAACGAACGACTGCTGAAACGAATTAGCGAGCTAAGAAAGGAGGAATTCGAGGATCATCAGCAGCAGCAAAGGCAAAGGCAACAACACCACGCCACCGTTTCCCGGGCAGATAGTGGAACAGCTGGCAGCAGCATGGCTTCTAATGTAGGCAACGATAACCCCATGGCCACGACGCCTAACTCGTCTGACCCTATGCCCCCGCCTGCGAAACCCCCGCAGTCAAATACAGCCCTGACCCGGCAAAACCTGGACCGTATGGAGGCCACGAACCATGCAAAAGCTGACAGTATTCGCGATAAGATGGCTAGGTTCGAGGGTGATACTCCTATGGATACGATCGAGATGTTGACAGGGCTACGATACCGGGAGGGAGAGCGGTCGAAGGGTATAAGCACGGGTGACACATCGCCAGCACTCATTCGCGGAGACGCCGGAGTGCCCATTCCCATCGATAAAGAGAGTCGCCATACATCGGAGAAGAAGAAGAAGCAGAAGATCGCAGATGAATACGTGTGCACGGACTGCGGTACCCTGGATAGTCCTGAATGGAGAAAGGGCCCCAAGGGTCCGAAGACCCTTTGCAATGCATGTGGTTTGAGATGGGCAAAGTTCGTAACCCTATGCTGATGCAACTCCCCTCATACGACGTAAATCTGACGCGCGCCATAGGAAAGAGAAGAAGCGAAACGCTGGCTCCGTATCATTGCCAGCGGGATCCACAGGTTCGCTGGTGGGCTGAAGGATCCCCACCGGCTTTTGTCTTATCATGTCCATTTATTCAACCTGTAACCATTTTCAGCCCCTAAGCATCCCTCCTCCTCCTCCTCTTCCATTTCCATTCCACCATATCCCATTATACCTTCTCCTTCATCTTCACCTCTTTCCTCACCTTTTTTCTTTTTTTCTTTTTTCTTTTTACTTTCTCAAGTTCTCACCCCATTCGTCCCCACTACATTGCAGAACGGCGGGGCATCGTGTTCTCGGGAGCAAGTTTTCAGGAGTTTACGGGCGGCAAGCATCATACGGAAGGCACAAAGTTTGAGGCGCAATTCGTTGTTACTAATATATTTCGGTTGGGTCCATCAATGAGTTGCAATCTTTTTTACCACGAGCGGGGATGTGTGCACGGAGTGCGTGTGAAGTACGTGTTGCAGATGTAGACGAGGACGCGGGTGCGGGTGCGGGCGTGTGAGTTGTCTATGGTGCCCAACCGGTGCCTTGATGTCGTAGGACACAAGTATGATGTCGTATCATAGGTCACCGTAGTAGCCAAGATCAGTGTTTATGAATGGTGCAGTACTCGAGTATTATGGTGACGAAATGCCATGTGTTAGGATACAGTACGGTATGATACTCTAATGCCGGTATCCTGTAGGTCAGGGACCACGGTACTCGAGTACCGTACCGGTATTGCGCTGGTGCACTGACACATCCTACGCCCTACGCGCGTTGCGCTCATCACCAACTGACCTAGACCCTCGCACCCTCCGCCCCAGCAAGGAGAGAAGTAAAACTCGGGGTCCAGTCATGTGCTCTTTCACAATATTATTATCGTTATGATACCTCGTCAGGAAGATGCTGGTGCTCTTGTCTTGCTCATTCGTCGGAGTCTGCAATTCTGTGGATCACACTGTGAGATATGGCAGCCCGGGCTAGCCGCTGCGCGGCTCGGGTATCATACATCACCGCGTTCCCCGGCACCGGACCACACACCGGTAGCACAACAGAGCGATACTGACAATCATACCGGATCACTCGAGTCTTGATTTCTCCTGTCTTCGCACAAGGAGCGAGACAGCCCACGGCTGCAGTCCTGGTACATACGGTATTAGACAGGTAACCCGACCAGGGTATGACGGTTAGGCAGTCCGACGGAATATGCCGCTAAACAACGCAATGCCGGCTGTCCTAACCCTCTACGGTATGTTTGGTGAATCTTACCAAACGTGCCAATACCGGTACCGTACCTGTACCGGTAAATTACCGGCACAGTGCCGGCATCTCTGCGCCATCGTATGGATGGAGGCCCTGTAGCCACGGTACTCGTACCGTACTCGAGTACGGTAACGTAACCCCTAAAGCCGCCCACGAAAGGCAAACCCCGGTGACGCAAGGATAATCCCCTTTACTTATCATACAAGTAGGATCGGGCCGCCGTCCAAATCTCCATATCGCTAACCAGTATGATATTACTAACTTACTGGGCAAACATAAACCCCAAAGAGGAAAACGGGGAAGAAAAAAAAAAGAAATCATTCTTTTTCCGAGGTTGAGGAGTGACTCCTCAAGACATCCCCCCCCCTCCCCCCTGCCCCCGCTTGGGAAAACACGTCTTCCCAGAAAAGTGCTTGTTTATAGGCCTCAGGAGAGCGCGTTTAGATGTTTCCTCCCCCCTCTCCTCCCTGCGAACGTGGCGAACGGGTCTTCTCAACTTCAACGCAAGCTCTGCAATTGGGTACCAGTACGAGCAGCTACCATGGCGGAAATCCACTCCCAACTTGATCCCCTCCCCCAAAATCTCCCCTTTGAAATCATTTCTAAAACTATTGGCCGCGGGGCTTATGCTTCGTTAGTTCCCCTTTCCTCTCCATCCATCCAACCAACTGACTCCCCAACAGAGTCAAGAAAGGCCGTGTGCCCCAAACTGGTGAAGTGTTTGCTGTAAAGTTCATACACAAGCGGTACGCAATCGAGCGGGGAAAGATTTCGCCGCGACAGATTATGGCGGAGGTCACCCTTCACAAGCACTGTGGGTACCATCCGAATCTTATACAATTCTACGATTACGGGGAGGATGAGGTGTGGACTTGGATTGGGATGGAGTTTGCCTCGGGTGGGGATTTGTTTGACAAGATTGAACCGGACGTTGGCGTTGCTGAGGATATCTGTCACTTTTACTTTGCCCAGCTGGTTGCGGGAGTTTCGTACATTCATGGGCAGGGGATTGCTCACAGAGGTAAGGGGCATTATCTACTCGATAGTTGTGCCTTTCCCGCTTCCGTTCTCTCTGTTTTGCACTACTAATTGGAGGAATTCGTAGACATCAAACCGGAGAATATACTGCTAGACGATCGTGGTAATTTAAAGATTGCTGACTTTGGCCTTGCCACGGTCTTTAGCTTTAAGGGCTCATACAAGTCCACTTCAAACGTCTGCGGATCCCCTCCGTATGTTGCGCCGGAGGTTCCTATCCATTATTCGCTTTTGCCCGTTTCATGTTAGCCTGAACTGTTGAAGCTAACTGATTGGGAACCGCGTCCTTTTATAGGTGCTGATGGGAAGTTATCGGGGGGATCGGGTCGATGTGTGGTCTTGCGGTGTATTGCTCTTTGTGCTATTGGTGGGAAACACACCCTGGGATGAGCCTGGTCCCCCGTCTTGGGAGTTTGAAGAATTCAGGAGAACCAATGGTCGCCCGACATACGATCCTTGGCCACGCGTTTCTCCAGATGTCCTTTGTTAGTGGGCTCTTTGTGCATTGGCTGGATCTAACGTTCGGTCGGTGTTTGCCGTTCTCAAGGCTAACCTTCTGAAATAGCTCTGCTCCGGGGCATGATGAGATTGGACCCTCTCACGAGGTTCACATTTGAGGAAATTCGGCGCCATCCATGGTTTACACGGTGCGTCTATAGTTCCATTTCCCTTTCCCTTTTTTAGAAAAATAAAATAAAATGAGAATAAAACAAGATAACGTTTCCCCTGGGCATTGGCTGATGTTCTGGTATTTAGAGAGAATCCTCATCTCACCGAGGACGGATCTTGCATTGACAGCGTGAATTTGGCAACGCAGTTGATGGAAGGCTTACATGTCAACTTTAATGACGTGCCAGCTAGTCGGGGAGTATCTCAATCCGTTAGCGACGATTTCAGCAGACTATCGTCAACGCAGCCGGAAACCCCAATTACGGATGTTCGCTTCGAGTGGGAGAGATCGTGGCAGTCTTCCTCACAACCTCTGGGGATACCGCAGGATTTCAGCTCTCAAGATTTCTGGGCTAGCTTGGCTGAAGATCCCACCATGAGCCAATTCGCGCCTCAGCCCTCGCTCCCGCTGTCTCTTGTAAGTTTCTCTTTTTGTCTTTTCACTTATTTGTCCTTTCATCCCTACCCCGTTGTGCTACATTCTTCTGCAAGATGCAGGAAACAGTACTGACCATATCAAGACCCAAAATGCCCAAAAGTTCCAGGACATCTGCCCCTCACAGCGCATGACACGTTTTTATTCTTCCTATTCTTTCCGGCAGATCTTGCCCATCCTTGCCAGCGCTCTCCACCGTCTAGGGGTCGTGGCGCCAGCGTTCAAGCCGTCCGACTATGACGATAGCAATACGGAGACCTGGATACCCGTAAAGATATTGGACAAACGAAAGTGTCATTTGAGGGGGGATATCCTGGTCGAGAGGATGGCACCGGATGTATTGCAAGTCAGCTTTTCAAAGACGATAGGCGACCCATTGGAGTGGAGGAGGTTCTTCAAGGTATATATCCACACATTGGGCGAGTGTCCGATGACCCCTCTTACAGATCAATTGGCTAACTCAGGGGCACGGGGGGGGGGGGTTAATATGCAGAAAGTAGCTATTCTCTCCAAAGAGGCCGTATACACGGGTCACTAGTGAGTGGGGTAACTAGGAGTGGTACGGCAACTTGGTTCGGGAGACGGACCAAGCCAGACAAGCCCTTTTCCTCCACTTTTTCTTTTTCTTTTTCTTTTTTCCCCCTCTCTCTTCGGGCATATCGGGCATTATCAATTCGGCGTAGTGTTAGGCATTTGTATTTGATGATCACGTGTGCTATGATTTGATACCCCCCTCCCTTCCCTTTTATTTTTAATATACTCGAGTACAGTATATCTCTTCTTGTGCGTTGAATGGCGGATGATGGCATGCGGTGATATGGTATTATGGATTGGTTGAATTAACTGATTACGGCACCTGTAGATATCATAGATGACTGACGATTAGACAGATCCTTGTAGAGTCATATTTTGCTTTTACTTTTTCGCGTGTAGAAAATCTGCCACATTCAATCTTATCCTCTTCTCTTCATTGTGTCATATTGCATATGTCCTGCAGGTGGGGAGGGAGGGATGATTTCCTTTTTGCTGATATCTTCATTGCCCCCCCCCGTTTTTTTCAATTCATTTCCTTTTCTATTTGCCATTAGAATGGCACTTGTGCCGGTGGAGCAGGATTTACTTTTGCAGAATACCGGCAGTTGAGGGGGATGTTATGTTTGCTCTATCCGGCCAGATAGCAAGGTAGGTGGAAGAGAGCAAGTCTGATGATATACCGGAAATCTGATATCAGATTCCCCGCTCCCCCCCCGCCTTCACCCCCCACCGCAACCACGCACCAGTATTCCATTTTCTCATTTGTCTTTTCAACAGCCGTACAACACAATACTTGGAGGAGAGTCGCCTCTTATTTTTTCCTTGTTTCCCCCTCCCCCCTTCCCCCGCACTAATGTGGTAGTCTACTATATTGTCCCATAACTCGTAAAGACAAAGTCCGCCAATACCGCGGCGTGTGCTGCAATTTTTGCCTTACCTTACCCGCTCTCAATCGTTGTTGGACAAGTAATCTTACATTTTGGGTTACTTGGCTCGGTTGGAAAGGCTTGATTTTGTTCATGTTGGAGGGGGATCGGGAGCGTGTGTGGTGATCGGGCTGCCCTCCGCGTATAGTATGGTACATGCAGGTACAGTGCTCGTACAGCTAGCGGCGGGGGAAGGCAGGAAGGAAGGAAGGAAGGCAGGAGGAGGTTGACTTGTGAGACTTTTTTGTATTGGCTTTAGCCAGTTAAAAGGTTACCCTACCGTGCTTTATTATGTCATGCACACAACACACCAGCCATCCTTTCACTCATTTAAATTTAATTGGCCTATCCTACCGGTACCGGTATGATAGTCTAGTCTAGACTGCCCATCACATCCTAATATCGTACGATACCTCAACTCACCTCACGTGAACACGCATAAATCATCATCATCATCATCATCAACAACAACAACAACAACAACAACAACAACAACTACCGCAACCTCAATGCCGACCGCCAAAGTCCAGGCCGAGAGTCACCAATCCACTGGCCGGTCGGCCTACTCCTCCGGCAACTACGCCGAAGCCCTGACACACTTCGCCGCAGCCCTCGCGCAACCGAACCTGCCGGCGGCACTGCGCGCAAGCATACTGGACAACCTCTCCGCCACGAAGGAGAAACTTGGCGGCGAAGCGAACCTAGCGGACGCGCTGAGCCACGCTCGCGCCATGATACGATTACAACCCGCGAGCGCGGAGGGCTACCTGCGCGGGGGGAAGGTATTGCAGCTGTCGGGAAGGGACGGGGACGCTGTCAGGTTGTACGAGTACGGGATCTCCAAACTCCCGTCCGACGGCAGCGGCGTCAGAAGGGCGCGGTTGGGAGCGCAGATTGCCAAGGTCCGCTCCAGAATTGCTGCTCGGCAGGGGGCGGTATCCTGCGAGCCTCAACGTCGGGATCCGTTCGCTGCGCTGCCGCTCGAGGTGGCGCAGATTGTGCTCTTGCATGTTCCCTTCCGCGCGCTCATGCTCGCGCGCGGCGTCTCGCGCGGTTGGAAGACTTTTATCGAGTCTGCGCCTGGGACTTTTGACACGTTGGACTTGCGCGAGGCGCGGAGGTCCGTTGGTGGTGGTGCGTTTAAAGCGCTTGCCCGTGCTTCGCGGGGGTGTGTGCGCGTGGCGAGGCTTGCGCGGTTGAAGTCTAAGTGTGGGGATTTGCTGGCTTATTTGGTCGCGCGGTCTCCTGGGTTGAGTGTGCTTGAGGTTTGCCGGAGTGAAGCGTATGCGGATCTTGCGCTTGCAGGTGCTGTCAGGGATGGGGCGATTAGGGGGTTGCGATCGCTGGTTTTGGACGTTGCGTTGGATATTACGGAGGTGTTTAGGATACTGCGTGCTTGTGTGGCGGGTGGGCTTAAGGAGGCGAGCTTTGAGAGTGTGCATGTCGAGGGCTCAGTGAGGGGTTCTGGCTTGCTACATGAGAATTCCCCTCTGCGTAGTTTGGAGAAACTTAGGATTGACGTTGTGGAGTCGGTGATTTACCTGGCCGTTACTCTCGTATCCTCCCCTCCCCCCTCCCTTCATTGCGTCATGAAGTATCATTCGCTCACTGACGATAACATGCATAAAGTCCACTCTCCTGAAAGCCTTCCCAAACCTCCGCATCCTCGAACTTCCCGGCACCTCCATCTTCTCGGAAGACGAACACCTAGACTTTACCCCGCTCCCACACCTCGCAACTCTCCACTACTCCCAGCCCTCGCGCCCGCGCTACCCCTTGCTCCCCTCGTCAATAGCCTCCCTAACCATAACTGAAACCTTCGCAACGTACACAACGCCCGACCTCCTCTCCTCCCCTTTACCCTCCCTACACTCCCTATCTTTCGACACGAGCCCCAGCCTCACCACGGAAACCTTGACAACCATCCTATCCCCTCCCACACCCATCGAATGTCTGACCACGCTCCGACTGGAGATGTGCCCGAAGCTGGATTTTACTGCCGTGTTCGCCTTCTTGCGCGAGAGTGGGCTGGCAGAGCACTTGCAGACAATGTCGGTGAAGGGGAATGCCGCGTTCCAGGATGAGCTCAGCGTGGAGTTCACAGCGTTTGTTGGGCTGCGGAGCGTGGATGTGGGGTTTACTGGGGTTAGCGGGGTGGGGGTCTTGAATATTGCTGTTAGGGCGGGAAAAGGGGGTACGGGGGGTGACCGAGATGGGCTAGGAGTTGAATGGATTGGGATTGAGGGGTGTGGGTGTGTGGGTGTTGATGCTGTAGAGAGGGTTAGGGGGCTAGGAGTTAGGGTTTTTCAGGGCAGGGGGAGAGGCGGGAGGAGGGAGAATGGGAGGCGGGTCAGGCACGAATAGTAGTCGGACCAGTTGTTGCTTTGATCATCACTCATGTGAGGGGCTAGTGGGAGAGATTAGTTGGTTAATTGGTGATTGTATGACACAAGCAAACAAGCACACTATCATACATAAACAAGCCAAACTACTTGTATCCAGAAAACTTTTGATTTGACATGAGTCGGCGCGTCCCCCCCGACGTCTGGTTACACCTCCCCCCCATCCTTTAACTCTCCGCCCTTCCTTCTCCTTCCCTCCCTCAGCCTGGCAACCTCAACAACCCCGCTCTGCCCAGCAACCTTCTTCTGCATTCTCTGAATCTCCTCCTCGGCCCCCTCCGCTTCCTCCTCCGCAAACTCGAGCACCAGCCTTCTACCCAACAGATGCGTATCTCTCAACGCGTCCATAGCCCCCTGCGCCTCCCTGGCCGTGACGAAATCCGCGAACCCAAAGCCCCTAGTGGCACCGCTAAACTTCTTCGGTACACGCACAGAGCGGAGGGTGCCGTATGCTGAGAAGAGCGCGCGGAGGTCCTTCTTGCTGGCCTCGAAGGGGAGGTTTTTGATTATGATTTTGGTGCGCTTTGCAGTAGGCTTTGCTTGGGAGGGGGAGGAAGTGTGCTTTTGAGAGCGCTTGACGGAGAGTTTGTGGCCTTCCAGGACGTGTTCGTTTAATGCTGCCATAGCCGCCATGGCATCCGTCATGCTACGGAACTCGACGAAGCCGAAGCCCATGGATAATGTTCCGCCGGGGTTCTTGGGATCGGGCTTTGTCTTTACGCGTGCTGAGAGAAAGCCGTTTATTGGCTTGAATAACTCGGTTAATGTGGTGGTTGTAGTTGTGAAGTTCAGATTCCGGACGAAGAGCGTTGACGTTTCTGCCTCCACCTCGTCCGTGGCAGCAGTGTGGGCCGGGAGGAGCAAGTCCGTGGCAGAGACCTTCGGATCTTTACCCAATGCTACCGTCGCCGGCATCTTTGGTGCGTCGATGATCTTGGGGGTGAAGCCTTCGATGAACAGGCCCTTTGGAGCTTTCTCCAGGAAGAGCACAGTCTCTTTGAAGCGGCTGTAGGCCAGACTTGCGAATGCTGCTCTTGCCGCGGGTGCGTCGGTGAACTCTACCACGGCGATGGTGCCCGCTGGGGGCATGAGCACTCGTGCGGCTTTGCCGAAGGGTTCTACCAAGTCGCGAATATCCTCTGCTCTGGTTCCATAGGGGAAGTTCTTGAAGAGGATTGTCTTGTCATCCTTTTCTCGCTTCTCGAATGCCTTGAGGTCCATCCCGTGCTGGGAGAAGTAGGCTTTAGTCTCCTGGATTACATGTGTTTCTGCGTGCGCCTGACGGACAGCGGCGTCGGAGGATGTGGGGTCTAGTAATTCTGCTTTGGGAACTCCGAGACGATCTGCCACGGAGGATATTACGGCATCGGCCTACCGCATATTTAGCACGGGGAAAAAAAAAACCGAAAAAAAAACCATATACGGAGATTGAAAGAATTTATTACATTCATGTACATTGAGTTCCAGTTAAAAGTGCTTGACGCAGCAGTAGCTTTTCTCTTTATTTCTCGTTGCTTTTTCAAGGGCAACTTGGAGATGGCATACTCGTCCAGCTTGTGCTCGCGTTTAGGGGAAGCAGCCAAGATGTGCAACAATCGACCTTGAAATATCTTCCTATCTAAGGATTGATATGCTTGCACTGCATGTCGGGGATTTTGATAGAGTATATATGCAAATCCCTTGCTTGAATGTGTTTTGTTGTCCATTGGTAGGTGGACCTGATGTTGTGGCACGAATGTGAGTTATAATTCTGGCATCAGGCGAGCGCAAGGTAAAGAAAAGTAAAGTAAAGTAGGGAAAAGAAAAGAAAAGAAAAGCTGATCAGAAATTTTACTATCTGTTGTTCCAAAGGGAATAATCATTTGCCGCAGCATAAGATGTCCCTATCAAAGGATTTCATCATTTCAATCGAAAGGGGTTAAGAGCAGGCAGAGGAAAGAAGGCTTTTAAGAAGTAAGGGGGATGTCGCTAACCTCCTCAAGGTCGCCATAAAGAGCAAAATATTGTCGGAGATCCTCTTCTGTGCTTGAGTAGGATAGATTCCTAAGAAATAATCTGCCGCTCTGTGATATTACTTTAATTGCTTGCTCCATTTCCCCTTTGACATAAGTGAATTGTCCCGGTTGCTCCTCTTTTGTCTCCTCTGCTTGAGTGTCTCCTCCCACTTCTCCTGGCTCTCCATCGACTTCGTTAGCCTCTTGAGTATCTTGCTCTGTATCATCAGTCTCCGGTAGACGGGCTAAATGTGATTCAACATCATCCGTCAAGTCGAGCAAACGACTTGTCCTAGATCGTAACCATTCGGCGTCCGAAACACCAGTGGCTCCTCCTTCATCAATATTATACAGCTCTTCATCGCCTGGTTGCATGCTATTTGTTGGGGGACTCTCGTGTTCGATATGATGAACATCCACGGTCTCGGGGTCTGAAGAATTTGGCTTTTTCTTCTGTGCTGGGATATCTTCGTATTCGTCATCACTACCCTCCGCGTCGCCAGAGTCTGGCTGTGAGACCTGGACCCGAAAGTCTTGAGAAAAGGACATCAAGTCTTCATTGCCCCATGTCTTAGACTTGGACTTCGGTTGCATGACTTCTAAAAACTCTCTAAACTTTGGATCATTTTCCAAGACTCCGCTCTTTGAGCTGTCCCCGATATCGGACCGTTTGCGTTTCCCTGTTCGCCGAAGAGGCATCGCCGTTGTATTATGGGAAGCGAAAGGCTCATGTTTCCTCTTGTACGCAGTTGACCCAGGGGTATGCGCACTCCATGCTCGCGGAAGATGATCATCTTCTATCTGCTTATACGTTAGAAGGATAAATGACATTGATGGGTATCACATACTGTTCGTGCAATCTCAACACCTATCCGTGACATCCGAATAAATGACTTGTTGAAATACTTGACGGCCGCTGAAGCCTCTTCCGGCGTCTTATAGCCAACATATCCAATCCTCCGACTTGGGATAAGCCGGCAATCTGTTATGGCTCCTTGTTTGGAAAAATATGATTTGAAGTCATCATCCGTAAACTTTGGTGGAAGTCCGCGGACGAATATACGAGTGGACCTACGAATATTAGTAGGCAGTTTGTAGTAATTGATTTTACCCGGAGCAGAAGAAGAGCCTACATGCCAATAATATAACGATGTAAGTGGATTCTATTCTTTTTTTCTCGGGGGTGAAAGAATGCGTGAGAATAGCGAGGCGATGGATGAGAGTGCTGAGAGATGAAAGGCAAGAGGTGGTGTATGATATCGGGAAAAAAAAAACTTGGCAGTTGAAGGGGAAAACCAGTGACCAAGAGCTTGGTGGGGTTTGTGGCTTGTACTGTGTGCCTCAATTGCCATATCGGGATGAATTAGGCTCTATTAATTGAGGCTTGATAGCGGCAAAGATTACCGTATTAGTCAACAATATACGGCTGTCAGAAGCAAACCCTTTCAGCAAACAATGAACACCTCAGGGGTGGCAAAAGCTTGGCCCTCTACAGGTAAATGAACAACAAATACCGCTAACCTTGTTCCTGACAACACCAGACCCTTCCCGAGAGCACCGATTCAACAGTGACCTCACCCCTCTCCCGTGCCATACCCCCGCTCCTCCTCTCCCACCCTATATCTTCTCAATTTCTTCCTCAGTCCCCTTCTGCTGTATTTTGTCTCTGTGTCGGTGATTGATTCCACCATCTATCGTCTACGTCGCATCCACAAACCTTTATCGGGAGTTTGATTTTATCACTATCTCCAAGTTCTCGAGATGGATAATATTAAATCTTCAAACAATACCGCTGAGCCGAAGAGTGAGTTTTTCCGACCCCGATTGAATGGAAATCATTCACCTTTGGCCCCTTCGTTTCTGCGGATTAGTGCACTAATATTGGTGGATACCTAGCCACCGTCAAGTCTGTTGATATGGTACGTCTCGGTTTGATGGGTCATACCATTATAGTTTCTAATTCGTATTTCTTAGACAGAGGAGATGTCTAGCATCGCCCTCGACGTTGGTAAGTTTCTATGCGCCGATTTACTAGGGCCCAATAGCACAATTGCATGTTGAGCTAACCATCTAACGATTATCGTACAGCTAAGAGAGCAATGAATAGTAAAACCGTCGAGAAGGTTTGAACATCTTTGACACCAAACTCTTTACATTCTCTTACAGTGCCTTTAGGACATCGCCCAGTATATCAAGAAGGAGGTTGGTCAACTCTCATCGCTTATCCGACCTTTAATCCTCCCACACATGGCTAATGTTCGTTCTGAAGTTTGACGCCAAATTCGGCAGCACATGTACCACCTCCCTTGCGATTAGTTTTTTGCGGGCATTACTGATGAATTTTAGGGCATTGTATTGTCGGAAGAAACTTCGGAAGCTTTGTTACTCATGGTAGGGATTTGATAGAAGTTATGCTTTCTGAAGGACCGATACCTAACGCGGAGTTTAGAAACCAAAAATTTCATCTACTTCTACGTCGGACACCTCGCAGTCTTGCTTTTCAAGACTGCATAGCTTATCTCTTACTTGATATGGTCGGTATCTGGTGGAGAAAAGAAGAGGGCTTGGTAATATCCCACCGTTAATTGGCGATGGTTATTCACTATTCGTTTTTCTTAATTTCTTTTTCTATATCCTTCCGGCGGTTATGTTTTCGGAAGTTTTTCGGGGTTTGTAGGGCATCCGTGATGTGAAACGATCAATAAATACTTCCTTGAGATCTCACATACTTCACCTGTTCTCGGTTGACCATGATACTATCGTAAGCATTTTTCCGTCTCCGGTTTCTTGGTCTTCGTGAAATAGCTCCCTCCCACAACTCAGCCAATCCTAAGCCCTAGAGTACCGTACTGCGTGGGTTCCTGATCACGCGTTTTCCCTTGGCATTCTGCCTATCGTGTTTGCAGGGTAACCATATCAGTAAGCTAGGGCGGCTTTTTCAATTTTTCTCATTAGTCAGCCTGCCGTAGTTGGTTATGAGTATTGATCCAGAGGACAAGGGCAGAGATCTTTCTCACCCCAAACGCCTCCATCTCAACCCCGTTGCTGCTCAACCTGTAACCTCCCCTCCGCGTCAACACTACTGCTGTAACCTCCCTTCTCCTTGCCGGCCTCTATCTCCCGCTACCTGCGTCCTTCCTCGTTTCGTCCCGATCTTAAACCTTTCTCAACCACTTAACCATGGACGAATACTCTGACGATATTACGGCTGAGGATTGCTGGCAGGGTATATCGCTTTATTCAGGTTTTAGTTTCTTGGAATTGCTGACCTGATGGCCTCCTGAGCGCAACAGTTATATCCGCCTTTTTTGATCGGAAAGGCTTGGTTTCACAGCAGCTTGACTCCTTCGATGAATTCGTTGGCACCACGATGGTAGAGATGATCGATGAGGATTCCCTTTTAACACTTGATCAGAACACTCCTCAGAGCGACGATGGGATTGTTTTGCGAAGATACGAGATCATGTTTGGACCTTGTTACTTATCACGACCCACCATGACTGAAGGCGATGGTTCAACACAGCCTATGCTACCCCAGGAGGCAAGATTACGAAACCTTACGTATTCAGCGCCAATGTACTGCGAGCTTAAAAAGAAGGTTATGGTGGCTCGAGAAGTGGAAGTTGCATCGGATGATGAGGACGGTGGGTCTGACAATGGAGACCCGCAGAAGGACAAAGCCAGGGTAAGGTATGAATGGGATGTTGAAGAGGAAGATGAAGCGGCGACCAAAGTTTTTATTGGTAAAATGCCGGTCATGCTCAAATCGCAGTACTGTATCCTGAAGGATTTCAAGGAGGAGGAGCTTTATAGTCTCAATGAATGCCCTTACGACCAAGGTGGTTACTTCGTTATCAACGGATCGGAGAAAGTCCTCATTGCTCAAGAGCGGAGCGCTGCCAATATTGTACAAGTGTTCAAAAAAGCGCTGCCTTCACCAACGCCATATGTGGCTGAGATTCGAAGCGCAGTGGAGAAGGGATCGCGGCTCATTAGTAGCATGCAGATCAAGTTGTTTTCGAAGGGAGAGGCACGAGGCGGATACAATGCGACCATCAAATCGACCCTTCCGTATATCAAGAGTGATATACCCATTGTCATTGTTTTTCGTGCTCTTGGTGTTGTATCAGATGAAGACATCCTAAACCATGTCTGTTACGATCGTAACGACACGCAGATGCTTGAAATGATGAAGCCCTGTATTGAGGAAGCGTTTGTTATCCAGGACAGGGAGGTTGCTCTTGATTTTATTGGCAAGCGAGGGTCTTCGCAGGGAATTAATAAGGAAAAGCGTATACGGTATGCGCGCGACATCATGCAGAAGGAGTTGCTGCCTCATATCTCACAGGAGGAAGGAAGTGAGACGAGGAAGGCCTTCTTTTTGGGTTACATGGTACATAGGATGCTGCAATGTGCTTTGGAGCGCCGGGAAGTGGATGACCGTGATCACTTCGGAAAAAAGAGGTTGGATTTGGCTGGGCCCCTTTTGGCAGGGCTTTTCCGGACTCTTTGGAGAAAGCTCACTAAGGATGTCTACAAATATCTGGAGAAATGCGTTGAAACCAGCAAAGATTTCAATCTGACTTTGGCTGTCAAGTCTAACACTATTACTAATGGCCTAAAATATTCTCTGGCAACAGGTAACTGGGGCGAACAAAAGAAAGCGGCCTCTTCCAAGGCGGGTGTGTCTCAAGTATTGAACCGGTATACCTTTGCCTCTACCCTCTCTCATTTACGGCGCACCAATACTCCTATCGGCAGAGACGGGAAAATTGCGAAGCCCCGCCAGTTGCACAATACCCATTGGGGGCTGGTGTGCCCGGCCGAAACACCCGAAGGGCAGGCCTGCGGTCTTGTAAAAAACCTGTCTCTGATGTCTTATATCACAATTGGCACTCCTGGGTATCCCTTGGTTGACTTTTTGTCGTCCAATGATATGGAATTACTCGAGGAATATGAACCTCAGCGGTCTCCCAATGCTACTAAGGTTTTCGTTAATGGGGTCTGGGTTGGAACCCATCGCGATCCTCTCATGTTAGCGAAGGTTGTTCAAGATGTGCGAAGGCAGGGTGTTGTCAGCCACGAAGTCAGCGTCATTCGTGATATCCGGGATAGAGAGTTCAAAATCTTCACAGATGCGGGGCGAGTTTGCCGTCCGCTTTTCGTTATCGACAACGACCCCCGTAGCGAGCGACGAGGGCAGCTCGTCCTGCAAAAGGAGCATATAGAGAAGCTCGAAGACGATCATCAATTAGATATAGAGGACAGGTTTGGCTGGGAAGGCCTACTCTTTGCTGGAGCTGTTGAGTATCTTGATGCAGAGGAGGAGGAAGGTGTTATGATTGTTATGACACCCGAGGATCTCGATTTGTCAAGACAGGTTCAACTGGGTTATGAGATTGAACAGGAAACCGACCAAGCCAAGCGGGTAAAGGCACCAATCAATTCTACGACTCATACCTGGACACATTGTGAAATCCATCCGAGTATGATTCTTGGAATCTGCGCCAGTATTATTCCGTTCCCCGATCATAATCAGGTATGTTCTTGCTGAACCCGCCTTCCATCCTCCCCATTTTCCGGCTCGAGTTCTAACTACAGTAACCTCCCGCAGTCACCCCGTAATACCTATCAATCCGCTATGGGTAAGCAAGCCATGGGTGTCTTCTTGACAAATTTCTCGGAACGTATGGACACAATGGCAAATATTCTTTACTACCCCCAGAAGCCGTTAGCCACGACCCGCTCAATGGAGTTTCTTAAGTTCAGAGAGCTTCCTGCCGGTCAGAACGCTATAGTCGCAATTCTCTGCTATAGCGGCTACAATCAGGAGGATTCTGTCATCATGAACCAGAGCAGTATTGATCGTGGATTATTCCGGAGCTTGTTCTATCGGTCCTATATGGATCAAGAGAAGCGGATCGGAATGCAGATTGTGGAAGAGTTCGAAAAGCCGACGAGGAACAACACGCTTAAATTGAAGCATGGCACCTATGATAAGTTGGACGACGATGGACTGATTGCCCCTGGTGTGAGAGTTTCGGGAGAGGACATTATTATCGGCAAGACAGCGCCGATCGCTCCTGATGTCGACGAGATGGGCCAGAGACAAAAATATCATACCAAACGCGACGTTTCTACGCCACTTCGAAGTACAGAGAACGGTATCGTCGACCAGGTCATGCTTACTACAAACGCCGAGGGTTTGAAGTTTGTTAAAGTCCGAATGAGAACAACTAAGATTCCACAGATTGGGGATAAATTTGCTTCCAGGCATGGGCAGAAGGTATAGTTTGGGTGCTCAACAAGTGGTGTCTCAAATCCTGACTACAATTATTAGGGTACGATTGGCATCACTTACAGACAAGAGGACATGCCCTTCACTTGCGAAGGAATTGTCCCTGACCTCAGTAAGGCTTCCAAGATGATACTCTTGTAGGTCCTTTTGTTGATTTGTGACAGTTATTAATCCCCATGCTATCCCGTCCCGTATGACGATTGCACACTTGATCGAGTGCCAGTTGAGCAAAGTCTCCTCATTACGAGGGTTTGAAGGAGACGCAACCCCATTTACGTAAGGCCTCCAAGTCAATCCGCTATCCACTTCTCTTAACTGATCGCCCTCCCATTTATTCTCAGCGACGTAACGGTTGATTCCGTATCGACTCTTTTACGACAGAATGGCTACCAGTCTCGAGGCTTCGAGGTCATGTACAACGGCTATACTGGTAGGAAGCTAGTTGCCCAGGTGTTCCTAGGTCCCACCTATTACCAGCGTCTCAGACACATGGTTGACGACAAGATTCATGCTCGAGCGAGAGGGCCTGTTCAGATTCTCACTCGTCAACCTGTCGAGGGCCGTGCTAGAGATGGTGGCCTTCGTTTCGGAGAGATGGAACGTGATTGTATGATTGCTCACGGTGCTAGCGCATTTCTTAAAGAGAGACTCTTTGAAGTCTCGGACGCTTTTAGGGTTCATATTTGTGATATCTGCGGACTCATGACACCCATTGCGTAAGTAATCTCATGACTCTCGGCAGCCCTTTTGCTCACACATGTTTAGCAATCTTAAGAAGAACCTCTTCGAGTGTCGTCCGTGTCGCAACAAGACTAAAATTTCTCAAATCCATCTCCCATATGCCGCCAAGTTACTCTTCCAAGAGTTGGCCTCAATGAACATCGCTGCCAGAATGTATCACAAGCGTTCTGGCGTGAGTGTTAGAAATTAAAGGGCCGCCGAAATGAGATGACTCGATGGGATTGATGTTTTTTTTTCCTTTTCTTTTCCTGTCTGGAAATCTTGGGTTCGGGGTTAATTAGCGGATATGCGTGGGCCGTTTCCTTTTCCTTTTCCTTTTCCTCTCTTTCTCTTCCTTGGGGTACGTTCACCTTTTTCTTTTCTGTGTTTTTGATGCTCCCCGAGATCGTCTGTCGCCCGCTAGCTTTTCTTCCCTTGAAAAAGGGTACTGGGGCCCCGGTGTACTGTACAGTTATCGCTATTTTTGCGGTCGCGTAAATGTTAGACTAAATGTCAATGTACGATATATCCACTAGCTAATCATTCATTTTTTACATTTTTTACATTCTTCTGTACTTGCCCTATGAATGACATTAGAAACTACTAGATTCTATAGATGTGATAGAGAGAATGACGGCTTCTAGGAGAATGGACGGAGAAGTTTTATGAGTGGCGTGTCTATTTCTAATCTAAAAATACAACCGGATGACATTTGGGTCCTGATCACTTGATATCACTCGATGAATGTGGTCCCTCGGGGGTGCGGGCTGCAATACTCGTCCTCCCTTATTCTGGGGAGTGCGGTACCGGCAATTGCCCGGACCAACAGATGATGAGACATCCTTCTGCTACAGCTTATACCAACACGATCGCCAGTTGCGAATTCGTCGTAGAGACTGGCCTACTTTGTCGGTGTTGGATGCACTACACCTCCCTCCCTCGGTTTTTTCGTACACGGTGCGATTCATCGCCTCCTGCCTTTGCTGAGAGCTACTAGTTTCCCGATCGTAAGATGGACTGGTCGGACCGAGGAAGCAGTAAGGACACGTACTATCATAGTCTCCTGGTTTCCCTTGACCTTATTTAGCACCAATTAACTTATGTTCGCAACCCACCTACTTACGATCGGAAGATGCTTGTAGAGTAAAACACCAATTTGTCTTCGCGATCATACCTGACAAGATTGAAAGAGCATTAGTCTACAGGCTTATGGGTTAGCTCAAGGTGGGGACGGAAGTTAGCCTCTCAGCCCAATAGCCAAGCGGTTGCTCTTCCTTGATACTGGCTTCACTAGTTGTATGGAGCCAAAGAACTCCTGGATTATCTTTAGCACTTAACGCCGCTCGTGAAGGGCCTCACCAACACTTTCTATTACCATCCTTTATCCCATTCAACTATACCTCCTTGTGTAGTCTCCCCTGTGCTCGAGCTACGCTGTCTCTGGCAGGTATGTTTGCCTGTCAGGCCGGCTGTGCAGAAGATTCTCTTGTAGCCCCCCCGAGAGGCCGACACCTCTGGGTCAAATCCTCTCTCCGCCTAACGTAAAAGCCCTTGTAGTACACCATTTCCGCCCAGTCCTATACCCTCCGGACAAAACAGACGGAAGCTCCTGGGAAGGATTACCGTTTCCCCGAAACTGTATAGTACCGGTCGACCTGAACGTCTTGGATCCCATTAACCGGTATTCACAATTCCCTCAACCTATCAAACTAAACCTCGCCGTGGGCCGACGGCTTAATTTCCGCTTGTGACCTGGGAGCGAATTACAAGAATTTTTAATCTATCATATGATACAAGGCAAGATTCGAGTTGTCTTGTTCCTCCCGGCTGGGACAGTGTGGATTGGAATTGATTGGTTGTCACAGTTTTTCTTTCCTTTTCGTTTTGGCGTCCACTGGTAGTTATTCTTCTCCCTTTCAAGGTTTGCCTGCCCTCTCCACCTTTGGAGGAGGATTGCGAGGTTGGTTTCGGACTGGAGGGGCTGTTGCTGTACGGGTGGGATTGGAGGTTATTGGATATGGGGTTGGGATGTATTTCTTTTTTTTTGTCTGTGTTTTTGGGCTTTCATGTCGTGGGCTGGAGATTCTGTATGTATGATACAGCGCTTGAGCTCTGGCCTTGCGCGAAACTCGATCCACAGGGTTTAACAAGAGAATCTCTTATCTCCCCTCAAAAGGGTGGAACTGATGTAACCCCGTTTTTGGAGGGGGAGAAGAAAAGAAGAGGAAAAAGAAAAAATGACTCAGCTTTTTCATGCTTGAGTTCCGCTTCACAAGTTTTAGTGGATTCGCCGTGATTAGATTACTGAGCCAGACCAAGGATTAAACCTAACCGCTATGAAGTAGCTTGTATATTATGATATACTGAAACGCGGGGGGTGGCAACCCCCCATTTAGAAGCTCTAATCAGATCAGTTGCGCTCCTTTCTTTCTGCCCTATCCCATCTCGCCTTCCAGCAACGAGGCGCACGGGAAGACCAGGTCCCGGTGACCAGAAGGGAGGGATACCTCTGATTTGGTGGGTGGAGAATCCGAAAGAGGGCTTC